TTACTAACTCTTCCTGTTTAATTGCACCCGCAGAACCCAGAGCATCGAGGGCAGCGTCACCATGAACGGCGCCGAGCGCAACCTGAGTGCTTTCCGCAAGCTGTCTGCCTACATCATGCAGGACAATCAGCTGCACGGAAATCTCACCGTCCAGGAAGCAATGACGGTGGCGACCAATCTGAAGCTCAGCAAGAAGTTTACGAAGCCCGAGAAGCATTCGATGGTAAGTCGCAAAGGGACCACCAATCAGTCATGGCAATTAGACAAGGTTGTTCATACATAGCTCCCTAGTCAGATGACAAGATTATTTATAGCCTAATTTAATTTGACAGAACCAGTTCTGAGTGGCATATTACGCCATTATTTGGACACAGGAAATCTAGCAAGTCATCGCGACTGAATAGAACCAAAATAAAACTTACTTCCACCCAAAAACTGCAAACAATCCGCTGTCTCTTCCAGATCGATGACATCTTGCTGACTCTCAGCCTGAGCGAGCACCGCTACACGATGACTCGCAATCTGTCTGGCGGCCAGAAGAAGCGCCTCTCGATCGCCCTGGAGCTGGTTAGCAATCCGCCCATAATGTTCTTTGACGAGCCCACCTCCGGCCTGGACAGCTCGACCTGCTTCCAGTGCATCCATCTGCTGAAGATGCTGGCCGCCGGCGGACGCACCGTCATCTGCACCATCCATCAGCCCTCGGCTCGCCTCTTCGAGATGTTCGACCAGCTGTACACGCTTGCCGATGGTCAGTGCGTCTACCAGGGCAGCACCAAGCAGCTGGTGCCCTTCCTGTCCACGCTGAACCTGGAGTGCCCCAGCTACCACAACCCGGCCAGCTACGTGATTGAGGTCTCCTGCGGGGAGCACGGCGATCACACGCGCAAACTGGTCGACGCCATTGACAATGGCAAGCGGGACATTCGCTCGGCGGCCGACTACGCCGGACTGAAGGCTCGGAACGACCTGGTGAAGGTGCAGAACCTGAAGGCCATTCTGGACAAGAACGACGCCTCGAACGTTAGCGGCAGCAAGTACGAGGACAACCTGACCCTAAACAACGGCTTGCTCAACGGCATGGTTAACGATATTGTGAAGGAGGGCAATGCCAGTTCCGCCCTGGTAACCACCAACGAGAAGGGGGATGCCATGATCGACGTGGAGAAGTCCGTCAACTGCACCACGGCCCTGCTCACGGAGGAGATCACATCGCCGGAGCGCTATCCGACCTCGCAGTTCCACCAGTTCTGGGTGGTCCTCAAGAGAACTCTACTCTTCAGCTACCGCGATTGGGTAAGCAGATTGTTTGGCACTACATTATGGTTGACTAATTCTTTTCCTGTATTGTATAGACTCTTATGTATCTCCGATTATTCGCCCATTTATTGGTTGGATTCCTGATCGGTGCCCTGTACTACGACATCGGCAATGATGGAGCTAAAGTTCTGAGCAACCTGGGATTCCTTTTCTTCAACATGCTTTTCCTTATGTACACGTCGATGACCATTACGATCCTATCATGTAAGTGAAGCCAGATTCTTGAGTACTTTTTGATTGGTTAATAAAATATGTATCTTTCGCAGTCCCGCTGGAAATGCCCGTTTTGTTAAAGGAAAACTTTAATCGCTGGTATTCGTTAAAGTCCTACTATTTGGCTATATCAGTGGCGGATTTACCGTTTCAAGTGAGTTGCACTTTGCCGTTAAAAGGACAAACAGAAGCTGATAACTAATAACTTTCTCCTCCAGGCCATTTTCTGCGTTATCTACGTGTCGATCGTCTATTACTTCACTTCACAACCTTGGGAGCTATTCCGCTTCTCCATGTTCTTATCGGCCTGCCTGCTCATCTCGTTTGTGGCTCAGTCCGTGGGTCTGGTGGTTGGAGCTGCCATGAATGTGCAGAACGGTGTTTTCCTGGCCCCCGTCATGTCCGTGCCCTTCCTGCTGTTCTCCGGCTTCTTCGTCTCCTTCGACGCTATACCAGTGTACTTACGGTGGATCACATACTTGTCGTACATCCGATACGGATTTGAGGGCACTGCTCTGGCGACCTACGGGTACGGACGCGAGAAGCTGAGGTGCTTCCAGGTGTACTGCCACTTCAAGGCGCCCACTACGACGCTGGAGGAACTGGACATGGTGAACGCCAACTTCACCCTCGACATTGTGGCCTTAATTGTGATCTTCGTGGTGCTGCGCATCTCGGCGTACCTGTTCTTGCGCTGGAAGCTGAAGACTGTGCGCTAGAATTTATAATGCTATTTGTTGTTTTCGGTTCTAAAAGCTTTCTATGTACCTACTATTAGTTTTCGACAAAGCGTCTTGGGTTCTGTTCTTAATCATTAACCTTTGTAACATTTATTTTTGCCTAGTTTTTAGTTGCGAAATTCATATTTTAGGTGATACAAACGCAAGTAGGTTTCGCACCTCACGTTAGCTTGATTCCAACCGCAGGATTAGCCAAACATTACAACAATTAATCAAACCAAATCACTGTGAGCACAACATCTTCGATATAAGGATCGCGTAATGAAATAAGTTATTAAACATGAAAACCCACATTTTTGCCAAAAAGAAGAAGAATATTTGAATACATTTCCATATGTATTAAACGATTGTTTTGTAAATGTCTGTGAATAAAAACCTTTTAACACACATTTTGTGTCCCTGAACAAATGAAATCCTTGTAATATACACATATTTTTATTCAAGGTACTATAAGCCCGCTTGTAATTATTTTATACAAAACTTTTTAATACAGGTTTATGATAAATCCAGATGGTATTTAAGTGTCTGCAACATATACATATTTTATAATCACATTTGTATTTATAAATAGTGCATTCTTGGAGGAAATAAAGAAATTATACACAAAATACTGGCTGTATTGGTTTTTTGAAGTGGAAAAAGAGGGGATTCTTTATTGAATATACGCCAAGCTAAACAGCACTTTTGCTGTATAAAAGCTCTTACAGCGACACCTGGCGGAAAAGACGTTCCAACTGTACGAGTAATATAACGACCGTTAACTACGAGCCAGTTTTAAAATGTGATCGCGAAACGATAATACATTTTTTTTCAAAGTGGCAATTGGGAATTAACCAGTACTTATACTGTCACTTTGAAGTTATGCTGGTTAGTAGCATATACAATTTGGGATGGCAAATGAATTGGTATTGCTATGTAATATTAGCCACCTAGACTAAAACCGAGTTCCCTCGGAATTTGCTGCTGCGGCCAACATAAAAAGATTCCCTAACTACTCTCTTTTATCGAAATCTAGTTGCGTTATTCATTAGCTCTTTTTTAAAATATATATATTTTGTAGAATTTTCTATAAGCAAAACAAACGTTTGTTCCATTTCCAATTAAAAAGAATTTGTAAATGTTAAGATTCTCTATAAATCATTCAAATAGAGGTATCATTGTTTGTGTTAGGGAATTTTGACTGCAACCGCTATTTTCGCTGTTCCAATGAGCTTGCAATTTCGCTTGAGATATGCCAGATATTGCCGTAATGGCAGCTTGCAGCTTATGATAATCACCATAATTTTGCACGCCTTTAGCGAATGAATTTTCAATTTCATGCAACAAAAGAGTTTTTCAATTAATTTGAAATAAACGTCCCAGATTTTCAACGCACGTCACATGGTTCTGATTTTTGGCTAAAAACCGAAAGCCCCAATCGGATTGAGGTAGGTCGGAGGAACTGAAACAGCACTTTTTCCTCTGTGGGCCCGGTAAGTGTAATCGGTATAAATAGACCGGCCATATCCTTCAACGGCGAATTCCGGATCTTGCAAAACAAGTTTTTCTGCCTTTTTAGCTAAGGAACCAGCCTCTGATTCTCTGACTAGAAGGGCAGAAGAATTCTGCCTGGGAGACCTGAGCTTCACGTCTGTAAGGCAGCGCAGTAGCAGTCACCGCTGCGTTCTTCCTGCACTCGCTTTCAGTACATTTTCATTCGTCGGTGCAACAAGTCGACGCCTCCTAGCTGCCGTCGCGGTTGCCGCCATGAGAAAGAGAGTGGAAAGCCAGCGACAGCAGCAACTACAAAAAGAAAGTGGAGTAAGTCCCCCCATAGCTCCGCCAATCCACCCTCCGAAGCTTCAATGCCAGTGAGTGGTGCATTTACGCAGCTGCAAATAGTAGTGCCCGCCGGCTATATCTAAACGCGTTCGTTGAACCCGAAAAGTCGGGAGCAAGTGCAAGAATGCGGGAGTGTGTACTGCAAGTACGATAGAAATTTCTTTTCCAACTACTGTTTACCACGCTTCCAAGTGGCACGAGCAAAGTCAATTATTTAATCGATTTCTGGGTCGACTCAGGGAGTTGTTATCAGCGGCCTATTATCAAATCGTGGTCTTTCGGTGCATGACTCAAAAGCCCACAAACCTATATACCGATAATTCTGTGTACATAAGATATAAAGACGCCTCTGCTTTGTTTACTGAAAAGCACATGCTCTGGTAAATGTACGAGCACTAGCGATCGTATAATTATATTTTTGAAATGAACTGGTACTTCTTAGATATACACATATTTATATTGCTCGTACAATGTATGCCTGTTAATCATGTATCACCAGCCGAAACAAAGTTCAACATTCGCCGCTTCAATGCATTTACATGCGCCATTACTCACACAGCAACGTCCAAAAACGGACAAGACAAAGACTCTGCCGGCAAGTCGCCTTTCGTGTACCCTAGACAAGCTGAAGGCAACACCTTTGCGAGTCCGCAGGCGACGCTACCCGAAATGTGTTTAAACGGTATCAAAAAGTGGGGGCCAATGGTCACGCACCCGTTTCAGGTCCGACTCACGATTATATTTGTATTCACAAGCTGCCACTAAATGCTTTCCACAGACAAAGCGATTCGGTCGCAAAATGCCCGAAATCAGCGAGAGTCAAGAAAAGATAAAGAGTGAATAACAACGTCCAGATTGCGCATCCGCACCGTCCGCCCGTTAATCAGCTAGCGTCTTGAATCTAGCATCGAACAAAACTTCCGCTATGGATTTGCTCACTCGCTGATAACACTTGAAATTCTCCGAAAGTTCTGTCTGTGGTGCAGTGACTGCAGCGCGATAATTGCAAATCGACCCTTCTAGGGCCACTCATCAGCTCTCCGTGACACTTGCTCTTCCCCCACACCCAGATTCGGTCGGCAACCAGCCGGACAGCCAGATCTCCAGACCTCCGGCGCTCAATCAGACGGCCAGTCATTCGGTCAGAACTCGAGCAGGCTGTCAGTCGTGTATGTACTGTGTACTGCTGTCCATCAATTGAAAATCTGAGTTTGTTTTCGGTTTGCGCTCAGAGACATCGACATCGATCGCGCATTCCCGGTTAACCGGGGGAAATGAATTTCATTTAAAAAGTTCTTCGGTCAGTGCTGAATTTTGTTTCCAGAACGAAGGGAGGGCGCTATTCGTGGTTCCTGATACGCGTATGTAATTTTTAGAAATTATTTGCATTTCAGTTTAAGCGAAACAAAATTACCGCGTAAAATTAACTCGACTCGAAGTAGCAAGCTAACGAAACAAGCGGTGAAGATAAATTTGGCAAACTGGTTTAAACCAACAAACTTATTTACTTTTTGTGTACGATGCTGTTTACTAATTGATTCCCATTGTACAAATGAATCTGCGCCATTAAATGACAGCAAGAGATTCCAGTATTACGAGCGCATACCCCCTCGAAAGGTTATCACAGAAGCCAGCCATTATGCGAACTGTAAACTAAATCAATTTTTATTGGCGATTAAGAGGCGAAATTGTTAAATTTGTTATCAAAAATTCTCAACACCCAATTCTAGGAGCAATGACATCGGATTGAAACAACGGCGTTTTCTAGAAATATCAAGATGCAAACTGCCATCAGCTTGAAAGGCAGCACCACCTCCCAGAACAGCTCCCTTCAGTACAGCAGCGACATAAACGCCATTAGCCTCGAGCCCGATCACTCGGAGGACTTTCAATCTGTCAACGGACTCAAGTATTTGCCATCCTGGCCAGCGGTAAACTTGCAGTTTACGGAACTCAGCTATGACGTCCCCGACCAGGCGAATGGTGAGTGAATATGGTCCGCTCATGATCATTGCGGTTGGGTAATTGGTAATGAATATATTCGTGTCTGATAATGGGTTATTAAGAATGATAATTGGACATAATTCTCAAAGTAATTGCCGTTTCCACAACCGCTTGTTTTTTGATGCTGAAAATGCACATATTAAAGGGCAATTATTCCAGCTAATTCCACATTAACTACGGTGAAATTCATGTCAATAGTATTAAATTTACCTTACAAGCTACAATGAATCATTTGTATTCCACCGAGTTAAATCTTTTTAATTTATCGACACCTCCTGCAGCTTCAAAGTCAAAGACGATTCTGCGGGGAGTCAACGGAACGTTCCACTCCCATGAGCTCACTGCGATAATGGGACCTTCGGGTTCTGGTAAAACCACACTGCTGAACCTGTTGGCCGGATTCCGGTAAAATGCAACACATCAAACCACTATCAAGTAATCCATCATTATCCTACAACAGCGCTGTCAGCAATTCCGGTGAGATTCTGGTCAACAACAGTCCCCGGGATTTGCGAGTCTTTCGTAAAATGTCCCGATACATAATGCAGGTACGAATGGATTTCTGAGGAGTGTTCTCCTAACTCATACAAACTCATACAATTCGCAGACAGATGTCCTGGATCCGCAGTTTTCGGTGCACGAAATGATGCTTTTGGCGGCAAACCTAAAGTTGGGAAACGAACTCAATACTAAGCAAAAATTAGAGCTGGTAAGATTGACTTGAAAACATTTACCTTGTCATATTCTTATCTTAAACCCTTTTAGATTGACGAAATTTTGGGAATGCTGCGCCTGAAAGGATCCCGGAACACTATGGCCCCAAAGCTTTCGGGTGGTGAGCGAAAGCGTTTATGCATTGCCCTCGAACTGGTCAACAACCCGCCTGTGATCTTTCTAGACGAACCTACGACGTGAGTTTATGAAACCAGTAAAATATAAAGATTAATGTCACGCCTCATCCAACAGCGGCCTGGATGACTTGTCGAGCTCTCAGTGCATTGCCCTGCTCAAAATGTTGGCCGCCGGGGGACGCACTGTGATCTGCTCTATCCACACACCATCCGCCAAGATCTTCGAGATGCTCGACGCAGTCTATGTCCTCGCCGAGGGACAATGCATCTATCAAGGAAGAGGGTCCAATATTGTTCCCTACATGGAGCACCTTGGGCTGCGATGTCCAATAACATACAACCCGGCAGACTTCATCATCGAAGTGGCATGCCTCGAGTACGGGGACTCCTATCACGGGCCGATGGTGGAGGCCGTGGGCAATGGCAAGGTTACACGATGGACTCCGCCATCAGAAGACGGAAAACTGACACCCACCAAAACCGACACCACATCGGGAGCATCGTCGTTTTACGAAATGGATCAGTTTGAGGAGGAGATCAGTCCAAAGCTTTTGCAAGCCAAGTGTAACTGGTGGATGCAGTACAAGATACTTCTAGTGCGGATGCTAATCCAAATGTGGAGGGACAAGGTAAGGGCCCTAGAGGAAAAACGCAAAATCGCTACTTTATAATATCTTCGATCCTTTAGTCGTACATCAAGCTGAAGTTCTACATGAATATCGTACTGGCGTTACTGGTGGGGTCACTCTACTTTGGAATGGGCACTTCGGCCTCGAAAGCGCTTTTCAATTTCGGTTTCATGTTTACTATTGTGATAGCATATTTGTACCTGCCTATGATGCCTGTGCTGCTCTACTGTAAGTGCTTTATTTTATTCCAAAACATCATTGCTCACTTAAGAATATTCCAGTTCCCACGGAAATAAATCTGTTGAAGAGGGAGTACAACAACCAGTGGTACCGCCTTAGCTCCTATTACGCTGCAATGGTGTCCTCCAAGCTGCCATCCATGTTCATTCTAGCCGTTATTTACCTGTCCATTGTATACTTAATGTCCAGCCAGCCTCTGGAATGGTTCCGCTTTGCCATGCTGTTTACAATAGCTTTCGTTACCGCCCTAACTTCGGACAGTTTTGGCTTACTGATCTCCAGTAGATTAAGCTTGGTGGTAGGTAATTGTGCACTTACTCTTTTCCAGTATACCCTAATCGGGTCCATTGTTTCAGAATGCCATGTTCATGGGGCCAGTGCTCGCCGTGCCTCTGATCCTGCTTTCTATATACGGGATTGGGTACGGCGGAGGGACCTACATATCGCCACTTATGAGGTTTCTGATGCATCTCAGCTACCTTCGCCATGGTATGGAAGGCCTAGTCGCCTCTCTGTACGACTACGGACGCGCAGACACAATTTGCGAGGACACGGAAATTTTTTGTTCCTTTAAAAAGTCCAAGGTTCTCCTAGCCTTTCTTGGCTTTGAGAACATGCACTATATGTGGTCTCTCACCTGCTTGATTGGCTTCTATTTGCTTTTCACTGTCGCTGCCTACATTATGATTAGACAGCGGCTCAAAAAATCGGCGGTTAACCCGATTCTCGCATACGTCCTACAGCTGTTGACTAAATATTTTAACTTTACTTCGTATAATTATTAGAAATACGATCGGGAAAAATGTGAAAGTGTAAAAATAGTTTTAAGCGGGATTTCAGTGGTCAGTCCAAATCTCCATATAAACCACCTTATTTTAGTTTAAGAACCAGTTGTAAGTCAGGGTAATAAAATATTGTTATGGGCAAAGTGATATCCGATTACATATGTATAAATAAATATAGAAAAAATATATGATAAACCTAGGATAAACTTATTGATTGAGAATGCAAATTTATTAAGTGACACCATTTTACATGGATTTATTTATAAATAATATTCAAATTATTAAATGAAAAGAGGAAGCAATATTAAACCAAGTTCATTCTAAAGCCTGGTAAAACAGACGATAGTATCGAAAAATACTCAAATTTTGTGTTTTTAAACAACCGCCTTTTAATTATATATATATTAATATATTAATGGCGGCGATACATACATACATATTTCTAATGTCCTTTGTTATATCCCCAAGAAATAATCAATGTTAACTTATGTACATACCTGGTCTCCACAAAAAGTATCCTGGGCTTCTAATACGGAATACAAATTTATTTCACTCGCCGTTCCTCGGATTCCTTGTGTCAACAATGCCAATTAGTCGATCACAAATGTACATATGTATTGCGCACTTCCAGATATGTAAGTATATAGTAGATTTATGAAGTTCCTTGTTTCTGAGGCTTCTGGCTGAGACACCTGTCCCAGAAGATCAAGTATGTGGCGCACCCGTTACAGCTTTGTTTTTGGAAGAAGAACCGCGGACCCCGGCCAAACAGTTCTTTCCGTTGCTTCACCACACTTAGATTGATATCTAGGAACTCCGACTAGTTCTTATTTTGGCACCGCTTTTCTAATATTAATAAAAACTTCACATTTGGTAGAAAAACTTTCAGCAGGCGTCTCTTTTGTAATCGATAAATTGTCTGCGCGTTCAGCAGTGATGGCGATATACATATCGATATAGCGACAGTATCTGTCCGATAGCTATCGATATATCGATTCATTTCTTGTTGGGGGTGTTCTTGACTTAAATTTAAATTCCAATTCTAATTGTACACATATCAGTAAAACCGCAAAAATGTAACGCTTTGTGAAAATATCGTTTGGCATTAAGACTTCCAGAAAAATAATATATAAATGTACGACTTCTGGAAGCAGAGCATTGTTTTAATTAAAACTGTCGATTAAGTTTATTGCAATGATCATTGTCATGTGAAAGTTTGCTTGACTTGTACATATTTTAAATATTACAATATTTCAGATTAAACTATTTTATGGGCGTCTCATTCGGCGCTTGTGTAAAATACCAGGAGCAACTTGAACTGGTCGACTGTTTACTTTGTTAATTGCAACACAAGACATGGCACTGAGTCTGTTGATTCTGCAATTAAAATGCCCGGTCTGTGCATACAGGTCTTTTATGCGTTACAAACTTTTAATCTGTATTTTAATATATTTTTGTAAAGGAAAATACATTATCTTATGGTTGGTTGATTACAGAAAATACAAAGACAGTGTGTAATTTACATACAATCGAGTTGTTTAAAAACTTTTGGTTAAACATATACAACGCATACGACAACATATAGCAATATTAAAAGATACAAAAATATGTGTACAATTAGGGCGTGAGAATGGTGCATAATTTCCAGGCAACGGATATTACAGTTTTATACAATTTCAATAGATGCCAACTGAATTACATTGCAGGGTATTTGAAGGGCAGGCTAACTACTTCTTCAATTTTTGTGATAACAAAACTGAGCGACTCTATACTATGTATATGTATAACTAAAGCTCATCAATTGTGTTGGAGCCCTCTATTAAGTATATATATGCTGGTAGTATGTCGACTACAACTAGAGTTGTGTGAGGAGACTACACACATCGAATTGGTTTAAATTATATAGCGAAGAGCGCAGGTGCAGTTAGAAACGAAAGCCCAAAGGAGGTCGCAAGCCGATGCAGCTCGCTTCCCCGACTTTTAACTTTAAAAACGAAACTAAAAATTACGTTGGTGTTGTGGTTTCTGTTGATGTTGACGCTGATGGCGATAACGATGGCTTCGACCTTTTAGCACATGGTGACTGCGGGAGCGGCGCGTCAGCGTCTAGTCAGTTATCAGTCTCCAAAGGCTTTGCCTCCTCCCACGAGAAGCCGGCACGACCGAAGTGGCCATAGGTGCTGGTGCGCTGGTAGATTGGCTGACGCAGGTTTAGATCCCTAAGCGCAAAAAGATGAACAATTAATTATCGGGACAATACAGTGGCTTGTCGAGCTCTGCACTTACTTGACAATCTTGCCGGGCCTGAGGTCAAAGTTGCGCCGGATGATATCCAGGAGTTCCTTTTGTGACTTGTGGGAAGTACCGTAGTCGAACACTGTTATGGATAGGGGCTCGGCAAGACCGATGGCATACGAGACTTGGACAAGGCAGCGCTTGCAGAGACCAGCCTTAACCAGTGACTTGGCCACCCAGCGGGCTGCGTATGCTGCGGATCTGTCGACCTTGGTGAAGTCCTTGCCAGAGAACGCACCGCCGCCGTGGGCTCCCCAACCTCCGTAGGTGTCCACAATGATTTTCCTGCCCGTGAGCCCGGCGTCACCCATTGGTCCACCGATGACGAAGAGACCGCAGGGATTGATGTGCACAATGGTGTTGGCATCAATGTATTTGGCGGGAATGACAACTTTCACTACCTTCTCCATTACTTCCGAGCGCAGGGTCTCCAGCGAAATCTTCTCAGAGTGCTGCATGGACACCACGATGGTGTGGACGCGCTTGGGAACAGCAGATCCTTGGTTGAAGAGGTACTCGCAGGTGACTTGTGTCTTAGAATCGGGACGTGCCCACCAGAAGACATCCGAGCGACGCAGCTCAGCGATCTTCTCGTTCAGTTTGTGGGCCAACACGACCGTGAGGGGCATGCACTCCTCGGTCTCATCGGTGGCGTATCCAAACATGATGCCCTGCAAAAATTTCATTCAACTTTAGAAACGATATTTTCTTTGAAACGCCAAGCAAAACAACCAAAACCAAGTTAGTCAGTAGCGTTAGTGAAATAAAACACAATTGGGTTAGGAAATTTGAGGGTGAATCAAGCATGAGGTATAGATTGGGAAAGCTTATGGTTTTTAGAGAATACGGTAATGCAACTTATCAGCCAAAGTATAGTAATAAATTTGTGTGTTTGTGATGAATATGCGGGGGTGTGCTTAGGTTTTCCGCATTTGTTATTTGAAACAGTGGTATAGACCGAATAAATAAAGCTAAATCATATATCGGCAAGAACAACGAATGAATTTTGCAGCTTCAGATAACAATCAAGGCGAAATAATGCAAAGTTGGTGGGGCCGAGTAATTGCCAGAGCAATATTGCGCTACATGTGATACTAAACTAAAGATGAATTCAAAGTAAATAGTAATACAGTCGTCAAACACTCTTTCGATTAGTTACGAAAATATATAAAGGAAACAATAAACACAAATTTACAAGTGGCGGTAACACCCCTTCCAAAGAGCTTGAAAACGCCCAACCACCGTGAGTATCGGATCCGTAACCAATTGACAATCTACAGAGAAACAGATGATGCGTCGCTCTTTGGAAAGGGCCTACGATCCCGGCCTGCCGAGACTGCGATTACTTGCTTTACTGCTTCTAATTCACACCTGATCTCCGGCACCGATCTCTTCCTCGGCACGGTTGACATGAACTCCGGCAGCGATTTCGGGAGATTGTTGGTCCAATGCCAAGAGCACGTTGCACGTTTTAAAATCGAAACCTTTTGTGAGTTTCGAACCGCGATTGCAAAGTGTACAATTTCGTTTAAATTATGGTATTGGTTTGTATCGTGTTTTGTAACATATGAAACGAGAGAGAAAGATAAAAGAAAAGAGCGCAGCAAAGTTGCACACACACAGGAAAATGTCTGTAAGTAATGTTTATAATATGATTGGCATCACCCTATTATTCTAGATTATAATAAATGTTTATATAAGAAATGAGCTCTTGTTCAATCCTTATCAGGACTCCTTAGCGATAGGCTAATGTCTAATGGATTATTGTATACCGTAGTCTAGGAAACCCTTCGGTCTTCTTCGATGGGGGGAATACATGCCGCATGCAAGGCTTCGTTTCGCTGGTTTCCTCAAGACGACAACTAGCGGGCTTATAATGGTTACATAAATCTTTCGATGGATTTGGTAGAATGCAATTTATGTGGTTAGAACACCCGCAGTGTAATCCAAATGTGTGGTATGTTATGTTTTCAGCAGTTATTGATTTGCTAGTTTGCACCAGTCAACTGATTATCTGCAGATTGCTATTGAATGATGGTCCTTGACCAAATCTTTTGTAAATATGGGATCAAATTAATTTTTATTTTAAATGGCCGCTGTTAAATAGTTGCCGGTCTAATGAATGCTTCTTAGTAATCATCTGCTTTTAATGACAAGGGTGAAACTCTCGTTGGCCTGTGAGCGAGCCAAGTTAATGTGGGAAAGATACGATTTAGGGGAACACTTAACAAAATGGAAACGAAACGAACGAACGCACACACACTCTCCGCATCACTTAGTGCTAGGCGGTAGGAGGAGAACGGATAAGCTTTGCTGTACCTGGTCACCAGCGCCGACGTCGTCTTCTTCGCGGTTGATGTGCACGCCGTTGGCAATGTTGGGCGACTGTTGCTCGATGGCGACAAGCAGATTTAGGGTCTTCCAATCGAAACCTTTTTGATTTTGATTTGATTTGTATGGTGATTTAATATTGGGTTACAAGTGTGTACGTATTTTCGACGTGAGGATCGAATCCTGAAACCCGCCCACAAATAGTCTCTATATTCTTAGCAGACACTTACCCTTGGAGGAGTCATCGTAGCCAATGTGCTGCACTGTCTCACGAACAACCTTCTGGTAGTCGACCACGGCCTTCGATGTGATCTCGCCGCACAGCAGGATCATGCCAGTCTTGGCGACGGTTTCTATATAAAAGCATACAAAATGTTTTACAATCTTCCTTTGATAGCGAATCAAGCCTCTCCAGTGAATCCAAAAACTTCCCATCGCCTTGCAGATCGGTTATCCTTGTTTATTTATGCAGGCCATCGAATAAGCCGACTCCCAAAAGCATAGCACACGCGTCGGTTGCTACGCCAATGTTTACTTTATGGATCAGTTTATTTATGGATGGTCTGTCGCCCTCAAAGACAAATATGTTCATTCGGCGCCTTTGGTCGAACTTCTGTCAGAAACCGATTGCGGGAGGCTCAAAGAGGTCAGTAGCCTTGGCGTATGGGATTTCAGTTTATGGGTTTACGGAAGAGTCCTGGTTGCTCTAGCACCTACCGCACGCCACTTTTGCGTTGGGATCCTGCTTCAGATGGGCATCCAAGATAGCGTCGCTGATTTGGTCGCACATTTTGTCTGCAAGAAGAGAGGAGAAGGTAAGTAGAGCTACGGAAACGTGTACCGCCAAGCATCGCGGCAGGGGATGTGGAAGGAGCAGCGTTTGTGCCAAATACACACGCGCTCCCCCCAAACGATTGCCGCCGCCTAGGCGAGACAGAAAAATTGCCAGGCCATGCGATTTATTTTAATTTTCAGTCTGCGATAGCCAGCGAAATTCAATGCCGCTGTGTGTCTATAACTCAGAACAAGAGCCTGAGGCGACGATGGTGTTGTTCAAACAAAATATGACGGAATCCGAAGCCGAGTCGCGCATGGAATCCTTGGACTCGGATTCATCCGATACCAGTCGCGTTGCCAGCGCTTTGTCCCGAAACAGGGCGCGTAATTGGAGCCCTTCGACTTTCGGCAGCTTTTCGTGGAAACAGCGCTATTGAACTTGAACGTTGCGTCAGCAATGGGCTCATGAATTGGCAAAACTGTAAAAGTGTTGACTCACATAAATTGCGATGCGTCTCGATTTCGCCTGGGAAAATGATCGCCAATAGGTGAGAGTGGTTTAGTTCGGGGCTTTGGAAAAGCGGCTCTGAGATGGAAAAATTACTTCCTAATTTCCGGCTAGATAAGTTCCCCATTCCCGATTCGAACAGGCCCGTCACTCACGCGTCACAGGAAGACAGGTGAAATTAATGTCAACCCTTCGGGGTGTATTCTTTGGGCGGCTTCGGCGCTTATCAACCGGGCTGTCTAGGGCTGGCTGGCTGGCTTGCCAAGCCGACTTAATTAGGCATTATAAAGTATAGAATGGTAAAAGTAATCAATGCGTAGTATAAAAGGTCGCTCCCTTATCAGCAGATGTTGTCAAATACATTCGTATGCTGGTCGGACCCGCTGATATAAACAAACTCTGGCAGCGGCAAAAAGCCCGAGCTCGAGCGGAACACGTGGTTGGCAATTTCGCCGGAAAGATAAGCTTCGAAAGCGGACTCGCACTCGTGGAGCGCCACAAAGTCAACGTGGGTTTGTTTTAGTTTGGCCCTTGTTTTGATCGCCTTCTACGAGCAAGTGTAGTACAAGTACAAGTGCATAAGCAACGCAGAAGAGCGCAGAGAATGCTCGTGCTCCCAGTTGCCAGTTTGCTGGTTTGCCAGCTCCCCAGCTCCCAGTGAGCCAGAAGCACATGGTGCGCATGACGCAGATTCCCCGAAAGTGTGAGAGCCGCAAACGATAAAGAACCAGTCTATAAATTGCGTCGGACCCACAAGCACAAGGTTGGCCCGCCGCTGTGCGGGGTTTTCGAGTGGCCCAGCTGTTTCATGTGGACCCTGGTTGCCTGGTTGCCGGCTGTGGCACCTGACGATGCAGCCGAGAGTCAGGGTTCCGGGAAAACACAATCCATGAGATGCGTAGCGAAACGCCTCTGCTCTTGGTGGGTTTTCAGCGATCCGGGGGGAAGACCACTCCATCAAATCGCTGAGTAAACAAGCACGTTTTTCGCTTTTCGCTACCCTCTCGCCACCACTCAGCCGCTACAAAAGAAGCGCAAATTGGGTAGCAGTCAACAAAGGTATGCGGCATAGCACTCCGTCGCCATTTTGTTAGATCTCAGGCAGCAGGCAGCATTCAGCCGACAGCCGACGGCGGAGGTGTGGGAACACAGGGTACAGGGTACAGGGCAACCAGCTGGGCCTCAGACCCTGGAGAAACAGTTTGGTTAGGTTATGAGCACCGCCAGACGACGCAGACGTACATCCCTCAGCAGGGCCGAGTGTGCATTTGTGCCTGTATCTGTGCACACAACGCACATGCAGCGGTGTGATGCAATAGGAGGCGGCGCGGATGCAATGGAGCACTCACCTGGATGGCCCTCGCCCACGGATTCGGAAGTGAACAGGAATGTGGCTCCGTCTTCCATGTCATAGGAGTTGCCATTGCTGCCGTTGCAGCCGTTGGCGCTGTGTCCGTTTGTCTTTTGCGGCATTTTGCTGGGAAGTTTGTTGTAGTTTGTAGCTCGAGGCTTGTAGTTCTGGCGGAGAGAAGGGCTTCAACACACGAGTTCCGGGCGGTTGAGTTGTTGGTGGAGCTGTGGGAACAGAGAGAGAACAGGCCACATTAGCGGGGGCTAAAAAAAAGCGCTTGACGAAATTGATTTTCCGAACTCTCACAAAACACAGCTATTTTCGCAGTTGCGAACCTCCGCCGCCCGCCGCCCCAAGGCTGTTGGGATTTTCCGGTTTTCGCACGCTTTTCGCAATGTGTATAGTTTTTTATATAATCGCTTTTCTTTTATGTACTTTATGCTGCGTGTTTACCACACACAACCGGGGGGCGGGGGCGCTACACTCACGGCACGCACGTTGCGAGGGGTCAAAACTAGTCGCTGGGCAGGTAGCTGTTTTAAATGCCCGTTCGACTGGCTATTAGCTATAAGTTCAATAAATTATACACACTGATTCTGAGTTCTACTGGTTCAGCGACGGCAACCAAATCAGCGGCGCAGCCAACACACGTCCTATCTTGGCGACGGTTCTGTAGAAAAAGAGCGCACACTTTTCACAGCTTTCTGAATTTATACCTCTGCCTAGGGAGAGCGGGCTTCTGCTTATCGTCGCGAACGGAAGGGAGGGAACTGTTCTCTTCGGCTGACTCAGTACGTATTTTGGGGCTTATTTTGGCGCTCTTCGTGGGGGCCGCGAACCTTTCTGGCGTTCTCGGGACTCTCAGAAAACTTCACTTCATCAGCATCTCCACGTTTTTGCTATTGCATCAGCTGTTCCCCCGCCCAGCGTTGCCACCCCGCGCGGGAGCGAACACTTGGTGGATCTGGTTCCGGATCCTTCCTACTCACTTGGGATTTGATTTGATCCAAGGATTTCACGAGACTCGACTGAAAGTCCGACTTAATTCCTGCTCAACCAGAGCTTGACTGCGGTTGATTTTTAGAGGCGATCAATATTTATAAACTTGCGGGGCCAGCATTTGGGAAGATGAGTCGGCAGGAAATAAGAGCTTATCAGAACAAAACTATGTGCTACCAGGCTAGGCACCTATATACACTTTTCAGAATCTATTTGGTGTTACTCTCTCTGGCTTATGTACAACAATTCAGTTTTACATATTCGGTGATATTCACAATTGCTATACGAGGCGCCTTGATAGTTGATGACTACATATTTGTTGAAATTCTAGCTTCCCCACAACTTGGAGTGATTGACCCTTGAGGGATCATTCGACCCTCTCTCTGTTCAAGGGAAATCGAAACCAATTTAGGGTTTTCGTACCATTCGTACAATCTGTGCAATCGAAAAAGTGCTCACGTCATGGCACAAACAAGGTCTGCCAAGATCAAGGCGCTTGGTAATCAGCATGTAGATTTTAAAATTTCTAATACCCACTGAAAGTAACCGAAAACAGCGGGCTCCATTATCTTTCAAATTAGGTGTGACCAGTGACCCCCTGGGGCCCAAAGAAGATCGCGTGTGCTCGAAAAACAATTTGGACAGATGTGCAAGTAAATATATTCCTGAGCACAAATACTGGGAACTTGCAAATTTGAGATTGTGGCAATGCATTTAATTTCCATCGATAAGATTGCCATATTGACAGAAGTTTTAACTACCAAGGTATAATCAATATCTTTTATCTTGCATAAAATATAGGTTATTGTTTTTCTCAAGAATATTTATATGCTTTTACTATACTAAGTCATGTACATCCAAAGTTTTTACCTTTGAAATCCTTCGATAATAGAGTTTTCCAATCACGTTAGACTAATACTTTTCCCTACCTAATATTGCCAGGTCCCAATAAATCTGCACAAGAGTTATCAGCTATGTGACCCTAGCACCGCGTGACTGGGCATAAACCGAGTCGATGATTAATATTCTTGTTTGTGTAGTATACAGTTCGGTTGAAATCAATTAAACGCTATTACATGCACAATTTCCGTTTGAATATGTTCAAATCCCGCGCCAGTTGGCCGAAATGATATGGCAGCTCTGTCCGATAAACGTCAGATAGGGCGATAAACAGCTGTTTGTGAAGAAAAACAAATTGAACGAATTGTGTAAAGTTAAATGCGATCGTTTTCAGCGACCACGTCATATTCCGTTGGTCGAAATGAGGTTTTGGCTAGTTTGTAGTGCGGCCGCCCTTTTCCTGGTTCTTCGAGCGGCGGCGGACATCAGCGGGCAGGAGCTGGCGAGCAACAGTACAACCATCAACTCCACCTCGCCAGAAAGTTCTAACTCCACTCACGCCGCGCCCGATGTGTCAGCCAGCAGTCCTCCGGGGAATATCAAGCCCCCAACTGCTGCTCCTGGCAATGGAAGCGTCACGAAGAAGGGAAACACATCCTCTGTGGCGACTGAGCCACCGCTCATCGACTCACACGCCGTCGAGCAGGAGCACAACTCCTCGCTGTCCTTGTTCTTCGTCATCTGCGTGATCATGTTGGGCATCCTGCTGATCCACTCCATGCTGCAGACCGGATTCCAGTACCTGCCGGAGAGCATAGTGGTGGTCTTCCTGGGAGCCTTCATCGGCCTGTCGCTGAACGTGATGTCCGGAGAGAACGGCAGCTGGAAACGCGAGGAGGTCTTCTCGCCCATGGGCTTTTTCCTGGTGCTCCTGCCGCCCATTATTTTCGAGTCCGGCTACAATCTGCACAAGGGAAACTTCTTTCAGAACATCGGATCCATACTGGTGTTTGCCATATTCGGCACCACGATTTCTGCGCTGGTCATCGGAGCCGGGATCTACCTGCTTGGTCTGGCGGAGGTGGCATTTCGGTATGTTAAAGAATATTTATTTACCCACAAGCTCTGAAAGCCGCCTTTTGTAGACTCAGCTTTTCGGAGTCGTTTGCCTTTGGCTCGCTCATCTCGGCTGTGGATCCCGTCGCAACTGTGGCCATCTTCCATGCCCTGGACGTGGACCCCATACTCAACATGTTGGTGTTCGGCGAGAGCATCCTGAACGACGCCATTTCGATTGTGCTGACTGCATCCATTACCCAGTCGGCCAACGCAAATGCCGAAGCCAGCACTGGGGAGGCAATGTTTAGTGCATTAAAGACGTTCTGCGCCATGTTCTTCGCGTCTGCCGGCATTGGAGTTATATTCGCCCTAATATCGGCACTGCTCCTCAAGCACATCGACTTGCGAAAGCATCCGTCCCTCGAGTTTGCCATGATGCTCATGTTTACCTACGCCCCGTACGTCCTGGCCGAGGGAATTCATTTAAGCGGTAAGTCAGGGGGTTTTTGACTCTGAACTACAACCCCAAATAACATTTATTTTCCAACAGGCATCATGGCCATCCTCTTTTGTGGAATCGTCATGTCCCACTACACGCATTTCAACCTATCCACTGTGAGTCACTGCTAATTCACTTTTGCGTATGTACATGCTGAAACCATTCTATCGCAGGTTACTCAAATCACCATGCAACAGACGATGAGGACACTGGCTTTCATTGCAGAAACCTGCGTGTTTGCTTATCTGGGCCTGGCGATTTTTTCGTTTAAGCACCAAGTAGAACTATCTTTTGTTATATGGGCCATTGTGCTTTGCCTAATTGGGCGGGCCTGTAACATTTTCCCGCTCGCCTTCTTGGTCAACAAATTCCGCGAGCATAAGATCAACAACAAAATGCAGTTCATCATGTGGTTCTCAGGTCTACGAGGCGCTATTTCCTACGCACTGTCCTTGCACTTAAACCTTGACAGCCAGGAGAAGCGCCACGTCATCATAACAACTACGTAAGTGGTTCCGGCTTGCAAAAAGTACCCAGTCATTAAAAAATTAAAATTTCAGACTGATCATCGTGCTATTTACCACGCTAGTATTGGGCGGCTCGACAATGCCGCTGCTGAAGTATCTTAAGCCCGGAAAGAAGCGCCGCACACGTGGCTCCGTGCGGAGTACCACTGAGGAGGGAGGTCGTCGAAGCGGAAGCGGCCGAAAGCGCTCCAAGTCTATTTCTCTGTCGAAGACCCGCGAATGGGGTCAGGCAATCGACTCGGAGCACCTGTCGGAGCTCACGGAAGAAGAGGACGTCACCTTTACACAGGCTCGCGATCGCTTTGGGCGCATGGACCGGAAGTATTTCATTCCGTTCTTTACGCGACGGTTCAACAGTCAGGAACTGCACGAGTGCAAGTCACAAATGGCCGACCTGACTAACAAGTGGTACCAAGCCATTCGCGTGAGTCCTTTGGATTCGGATGAATCGGATGAGGAGATTGGGCTGGCGGCCAGCACAAGTCAGAGTCATCTGACGCGATCGTAGGAACTCGAAGGCTGTTTTAGGGACATCTGTGGCTGTGTTGGTAAACTTTGGTGGCCAAAGAGAAGGATCGTATTGATTACTTAAGTTGTTCTAGTTCAAATGTAGCGATTTTATTTATATAGTGCGGTGGTGGTCATTGTTAACTCGTGTATATTTTCCTTGTTCCAAGATGCTTATTTTGTTAGATCTTCATGCACTGATTCATCCGTATCATGTTAGTTCCTTTATTTATCCGATTCAAGCAGTATTCCATTGCACACGAATGTTGGTCTTCAAAATAGCAGTTTGGACGTCACAAAAGCAGACTACGTCAGAAACTTATGTTTAATCTATTTACGGATACTTGAATGTATGTTATGACTGTATTTGTGATTTTGTACATTGAACCAAATATAATATATATTTAAATGTGATACCAATTACAAAAACTTGACTTTAACCTGCTTGGGGAAATACAATTTCTTTTTTGGCGGAAAACAATAATATTTCTTAAACTCACTTTGGCAAACTAATTTATAGTTACATATCAATTGCTAATAATATTAACTATTAAACTAAAATTGACTACGAAAGGTGTGCGCTACGGATACTTCTACAGTTCTTCGTGGGTGGACTCCTCACCGAGCACCGTGGAATCTGAATCGCTCCTGACTGCAAACGAAGTACAAAAATCGTTAGAATGCTTAACCAATTGGTGTTAATAAAGAATACTGATGACTAAAGCTCTCGTGCATCTTTATCAAAAAATAAACCTAACACTACGCCCCGATTTGTGCCTTCTAGCCCGGCTCGGTTTGGCTTATAATGACTTCATGATCATTTCCTCTAACTGTTTCGTGTTAAACTCGGGCTGGTGGCCACCTTCTGCCTCCGAGTTGATCCAGTACTCGGAAACAGCAATATACGCGGCCACAGCCGCCCCGACAATGCAGCCCCAGGCAATGTGGGTGGAGCTCTGGAAGATGACGCACGTGGCCACACACATTCCGAAGTAGGTGAGCATTCGCGTATAGCTCACATAGTTGCTACGTTGCTCCTCGGAAAGGTCTTTGAGGGTCGGAGGCGCAAGACATACGGTGGTAAATGCGATGTTAAGAGGCAATTGGTTTAAGCGCTGCTGTACTTACCGGTACACTTGCCGTCCCTCAGATCATGGCCATCCGCACACTTCTTGCACATGTCCGGGCCATCGCCGTCGCAGCCATTGCAGGAGCGGTCGCACTCCAGGCAGCTGAAGGAGCCCTCGTTGTTCACGCAGAACTGTTGCGGTCGGCAGGAATTAGGGCGCTTTTGCTCCAGGCACTCGTTTATGTCCACACACCCCGCTTCCGAGTCCATGCTCCACCCGTCCTTGCACTTGCGGCAGTTCTTCGGACCTCCTCCTGTGCAACCGCCCTCGCCGCAGGCCGCGTGGCACTGTGTACACAGCAACTTCGTTTCGTCACGGAAGGACTCGTAGTGCTCCGGTCCGCAATCATTGCAGTTTGGTCCCGTATAGCCAGGATCACATTTGCACTTGCCGTTTCCTTTCCGAGTTCCGGCTCCCTTGCATTTGCCTGAAAAGTTAACGCACATTAATATTGATAGACTTCATTGCACAGAAACAGACAGTCAATAAATTTGGCGGTCAAGAATTTATAAATATTTAAATTTAGACTTAGCAATAACTAATAAGCGAGATTGCCTTTATCGACTGGCGCACTGACTATGTTGCGGACTAAATGCCTTTAATTAGTCAGTATCGGCTGGGAGATTTTGTTTTGGGTTGGGGGTAAATTGAAACACCCTTGGAATTCAAACCGTACCGTTTCCGCTGCAGTCCGTGCAGGGCTGGCAGTCTGCTCCGTAGGTGTTCGCCGGACAGCAGACTGCCAGCTGGTCGATGCAGAGCCAGGTTTGCAGATCGGGACTCTGCACTTGGTTGTTGGTAAACCAGTCCTCCAGCAGCGCCTCGTGCTCGTTGGCCAGATTGTGGCAGTGGTCCTTGTTTACCACCTCTGGGTCCGAGCATAGCTTCTCCTGAATCTCCACCAGCCGCACCTCGCTGTTCTTGTACGAGCGCAGCTTCTCCTCCTCCCAGGCCGTGTCCCCGCCCCCGTGTCCTCTTTTCGTGCGCTCGAGTCCTGCCTTAAAGGACCCGACTAATTGGCTGCAGGCCCTGCAGGGCGGAGGAACTGGCTTCTGGGGCGGAAACGACGACGAGGCCATCGCCAGGAACGCCAGCGTGGCGGCCCAACAGTCCTTGAATCTCATTATCTTAGATTTTTTGCGTTTTTTACCGGCTATTCTTAAGTTTACGTGTATTTCAATCGGACACTATCGATTAGTCTGAGAACATCGATAGTCGACTCACGCTCTCGTAGCAAGTATCGATAGACCGTCTGTAATACGATGAAGGCCTGTTCACACGGGCGGCAAGACATAGTGCATCATTATGATAACTTTAAAACATTAAAATTATAGAAAAGGGGAATATTTATCAATTACATAAGTAACTAAATTATTTTCTGTAAGCACTATTGATCTTTTTCTTTTTACGGTTTATTTCATCGATTCTTCACATGAACTTTTTGAAGTAGATGCCATAACCGCCACACAATTCCAAAAAATAAGTTTAAAATTCAAATAGGTTCTTCAAACCAAAAAGAATAGTCTCTCTGATTTCTAAAACGTTTTGCTTGATATATTTGTGCAATTTTAGACTTCGCAGTATTTTATCTTGAAAGGATAATAAAAAATTAATGAATTCATAGATAATCCCAAATTTAAAGGTTTTTTTTTATTTTATATAAAATATTGTAAAAGTACAAAATATTAAAATGTATTTTTATACCCTTGCAGAGGGTATTATAATTTTGGTCAGAAGTTTGTAACGCAGTGAAGGAGACGCTTCCGACCCCATAAAGTATATATATTCTTGATCAGGATCAATAGGGGAGTCGATATAGCCATGTCCGTCTGTCCGTCTGTCCGTCTGTCCGTCTGTCCGTCTGTCCGTCTGACCGTCTGTCCGTCTGTCCGTCTGTCCGTCTGTATGTCTGTTTCAATACCGTTTGCGAGCTCAGTTTAAAAGCTAGCGCCTTGAAACTTTCACAGTCGTCCTAAAACATGTGTACGCAGATCAAGTTTGAAAGCCGACCCGATCGGACGTCTATATCCTATAGCTCCCATAGGAACAATCGGATATAGCTTTCACAAAATGAAGATATTTCGCTCAGTGTAAGAGCTATTGACATGAATCTTTCCAAATCGTATTTTTATGTGCGTACCTTGATGAGGGTAAAAGCGCGTGCCGATCGGACGTCTATATCTTATAGCTCCCATAGGAACAATAGGGTGAAATCGGTCAAAATTTGACGTTTTTCAGGATATTTCGCGCAAAATATAAGCTATTCCCATGAAACTTTCCAAATCGTATTTTTTTGCGTACCTTCATTAGGGTAAACCCGCGTGCCGATCGGGCGTCTATATCCTATAGCTCCCATAGGAACAATAGAGTGAAAAATTTAAAAATTATATTTTTTCAATTATAAAATATTTTGTTGTTTATTAATTCATGTTGCTAGTCTAGTCAAGTTTTAATTCGTAAAATCTGCAAGGGTATTAAAACTTCGGCTTGCCGAAGTTAGCTTCCGTCCTCGTTATAAATGTTTACTGTAATAATATTTGGTGTAAGTGCATAAAAAGTTTAAGAAAGGTTCAGCTAATATTTTAGCAAGTAGAGATCGATCATTCAAACTCTAAATGGTTACTTAAAATAATCCGATACGCTAGACATGAAATATCAAGAGGTTTGGTTATAATACAGTTGCAGACTGCGGTCTTGCAAGCATTTACCATTTCAGTGGAGTACTTTTGTTGGTGTAAGCGTTGGCCCTAAAATTAAATATAATAGTTAATATTGCAAAATATAATATAGGTAATATTAATTATTTATTTGATAATAAGGGAAAATTCCATCACCCAAAATTTCAAATCGATTGGCATCCAAACGTGATCATTTTTATTTTTTGCCATTATTGTCCTTTTGGGACAAGTTACAGCAAAGAAAAAAAATAAAAAAACCCAATTTTAACAAAATTTGGCACGAAACAGCGTTAGCCAATTACTGATATGAATGAAGTCTGTATGACAAATATTTTACAGCTATCAGATTGAATATCTGCACTGTATAATGGACGTATGGACTACACGGACCACAAGAATGTTTTTTAAATATAGTTTTACTTTACCAAGTGAATTAATGCCATTGCAGGAAAATAATATTGATGACTTACTTAACGACGCCATGGTTCTGAACTGCTGTAAGAGTAATAAAGGGAGTCAAGCGCTCTATGAAACGATCGTTGTTACGCTCCAGTTCCCTTTGGTAATCTTTTTGATCTGAAAGAATAAGATTCCGGTTCTTCTTCAAAGCGTCCGCACAACGTTTTGAAAACTCGCGAAAGCACAGTCGAAGTTTGTTTTGGTGCTTTGTGGGGACTGTTGTTCCGTCAGATAAATTGGATAGGAACACGCTGGCCATTTCCATAGGGCCTTGGTTAACGGTGGTTCCAATGCAACCCTGGAGAACCATTTGTAATATTTTGGGGTCAGCAGGCTCCTGATTCGTAGCTGCCGCCAGCTCCAATGTTTTCTTTTGAATATCCTGTGCAAAAAACATTCCATATTATTAACCGTTTGTATTTTATAAACTCTATAAACTTACTTCAATTGCCACCTCAATGGGTTCCAGGACTATTTGCTGCCGGCTAATAACCATAATTCGTGTTTTTACATAGGGAAAGTGGTTCGCCGTGGTCAAAATCGTTTTCCGTTTACATTGCTCATGAAGTTCGCCATGTGCCTTACCATTTTTCGTGAAAGGCGTTGCGTATATAAATCGCTCTATATTATAAAAAAAAATGATTGTCAGACTGAACACGATTCCTTTAAAGTAACATTCAAATTCATACTTAAATTGAAATTCCGCTCAAAGTATGTTTCACGATGCCGCATTTCATAAGTTTCAAAATAAGGTTCCACATAAGTAATTTGAATGTAAGCCTTGTCGGGGTCCAAACTATTTACGTCGACCGTATTCGAGTCTTTGATGATATGAACTGAGTCCGGTCCAAAGCGTTCAGTATAAAAGTTCTGCCATGCAAAAGAAAAATTTTTAAATGCATTTTTGGTAACCTAAACTGTCATGTTATATTGCATACCTGAAGGCGACTGAATATTTCGGGTAATTTTGTTAAAGTTGGCTCTTTATAGATGAATTCCTGTTGGTCCAAGTCTCCAAATTTTCCTCCATAAAATCCAACCCGGAAGTATGTACCGAAAACTCTCTTTCCCTGTTTAAATATAAGAAGATATAGATTGCGTTATGATAATAACGTATAATGATTACCTGTAGCTGCGCTATGCGATTAAACGCCTCCTGCAACTTTCCATGCACTTTGCTTAGTTTTTGAAAGTCTCTGTTGGCTTCGCAGATGGGAATCAAAATCTTATACACCTCGTTCATTGCTTCATACATGCCAGCAACTTGGAAAGAATTTGAAGCTTCTTCGAGCAAAGCCTTTAATCCAGTTTCGGTGAAATGATTTCCCAAGCAAATACCATCCTCGCCGGGACTGAGTACGTCATCGGACACGGCCGACTCCATTAGAGTATTGGGAGAAATGCGCTGAAAACTTACAGCTCCAACAGGTAAATGTGATTGAGACTCCAACATGCTAAGATATTCAGAGACCAAAGACGCGGCGTGTACGTAGCACATCGCTGCTTCCGTGTGATTTGCGCGCTCGCGGTGCTTCTTGGCCATGTTTTCCAACCAAGTCAGCCGTAGATCAGGGTTGTTTTGGTATCCTTTGGCAATCCGATTCATAAGATCAAGCAACATTTCTGGGTCTTCTTGATACTCCTTCATCTTAACGGTGTCTGACAATATCATGTGCAGATTGAAAAGCAAATCTTGTACTTGCTCAGGAAACGATGTATCCTGTAGATCGGAGTCGGATTCAGCATAAACTAGCACTGTTTTAAGGGCACGGCGAAGCGATTGTTCACTAAAAACGGAGCTTGTGCCAACGAGAGAGCTTAAAGACATCGTCACTTGCATCTTAACGCGGGCAAAGTTCTAAAAGCAAACATGAATTAGTTTTAATAGGCTTATCTACAAAATTGAAACTTACATTTCCGATTTCGAAATTTTGTCTCATTAGTAAATATAATGATGCAGCTGCCTGAGATCGTATCCCTGGCAAGAGAGATCCACAATGCTTCAGTAAAATTAAACACAAATCTGCACAAATGTCCGTCTCGTCGTCGAACAATAAGTTGGGAAATTTGAAAATCAGAGCGCGCTGGGAGGCAAACAAGTTTTGCAGCGCCAAAGTGGATTGGTTACGGGACAGTGCGTGGAGAAGGACCTTAAGGACAGTTCCAAGAAGATTATGGTATAGGTTGGCCGCCACATGAACAATTATTTCCAGGGTGTCGAGAAGCACAAGCGCAACTTCAGTCGCCAAAGAGCCTTCGATGAAGTGACTTAATTCAAGTTCATGCTCACTTTTGCCCACACCGTCGACATATTGTGAGCGATATGGCATCTGGTCTTTTCGCCAGCGGAATTTCTCTGTCGAATTCCGATCTTTTCGGCGATTAATTAAATCATATCGCGCTGAATTTGTCCCTCTAATGCATTCCTCCAACTTTTCCTTTACATCAGTAGATCCAGTTTTTCTAAAACTTTGTGTATTGGTGCGTTTAAGAGTGGGGACCTGTTTTTGACCTGTATACTCGAAAGTTTTCAGGCAAACATTGACAACTTGAAGCATTTGATGCACTCTGTGGGGACTTAGATCCACAAGCCAGCGGTACAGAATATTGCGCTCCAAATTTTTAAGCACCCACAGGAAACAAACCAATAAATGGCGGGTGTTCTCCGAGCTAAGGGGCGATTTGTTTTTAACTTGTTCATTCAAGTAGGAGTAGGGACGACTTCCTGATATTGCGAAAGCCACTTCCGGATTTATAGTCGATGCTGTCATAGTTTGATGGGGGCCTTGATAATCTTCAAGCTGCCCGATTTGCTGCAAACGGTCCTGATCAAGACCGTGCTGATGAAGCTGAGGAATGCTGTTCATCACTATGGACAATAACGGTATGTATAAGGCGGCCACCCTTGCACGGGCTTCCGTGTCGCTATACCGAGTGTCCAAATCGTGAGAAGTCATCAGGTTACGTGTGCATCGTATCGCCTTCCCGTGCAACTGGGGATTGGGCACTTCCATTACTGCAGCCAAATCGCTGAGAACAAGTCCCACCAGGAAATGTTGTTGGAGGAAGTCCTGACTCAGGTCGGCATGAAGAGCTCTCTCCAGT